GTGCCACAGACTCCCTTTCATTCTAATTGCTTGGGGTCCTATGGTTCAAAGTGCTGCCTTCTCACGCCCTGGTGAAAGCTGGCAGTTGGACTAAACGGTGCCTGTAAACTCTGGACCACACATAGTGTCCTCAGGAGACGGCAAACAGCCTCACCGCAAACTTTAAGGCACTTCCTGATGGCAATGATAGGAACTTACAAAACTGTTGTTGGACTTTGTTCTGAATGGGAGTTTCACAATCACTGTCAGGTCTTCAGACTGGAAAACGGTTTACATAAAATGCGTAAGTGGATGCTGTGTTCATTGCTTTTTACGGACCTCAGTGTCCATGCAAATGAGCAGTGTAACTTTAAATTTGAGGACGACCCAGGAGGAGTGGGATCCCACAGGGTGTTTGATCCAGAGAGAGAAAAACAGAATGGGCCTGACCTTCCCAAGGATGACATAGCATCTGGATCTTACTTTGAAATACAGAAGGGCTCTGGGGACACAGCACACACCAGGCACCGTGCAGCTCAGTGAATCTGCAGAGCAGCACGCTCGGCGATTGAACAGAAAGGCTGCAGGCCCAGGGCTGGTGCTGGAAGCCATTCAAAGTCCAGGTCCAATGTCACTGCCCATTCCTTCCCTCTGGGGGCACAGAAGGCGTACAAAGGGGGGGCAGTCATTCCTGGGAGACCCCCCCCCGTCTAACTCTTTGCACCCCACTTGTGAAAGGTGCATTTTGGCAGCGAGGCTCGGTGTTTGCCAGGTAAGGAGCCTTCTCGGTCCATCAGCCTCTTTGGCCACACAATATCGCCTTTCTCAACACACTAAATTGTGTTTGCTTCCTTCTCCTCCCCAACCAACCTTCATGCTAAACAAGACCATCAAAGGGGAATGTTAGAAGGAACAAGTAGAAAAGATGGGTCTAGAGAGTGTGCGATGCACCACGTCCCCCAATTCCCCACGTGGTCCGTTCCTTTGTCTGCTAGGAGTTTAAAACCTAGCCAGCAGCCCTTCTAGCAGCTTCCGGCCACAGCAAGAACCAGAACCTCCGTGGAGATGTCAGAGGTGAGGAGGAGGGGCTGAGGATGAGGCAGACTGGGAAGAGCAGAAAGAACATGTTCCCCTTTCTCTCCATCCTGTCATCAGCCGGTTCCAGCTCAGGGACAAAGAGGGAGTCACAGCGAGGGTTCTTTTCAAACAGAAGAGGGGACAGGGCACCTCACGTGGAGGGAATTTTAAGTTACATCAAAGAAAAATAACTCAGGACTTAGTGAAAAAAGATTTGTATTCAAAAGCCTTCTTGGAACGGAGGATAAGGGGCTCTTTGCAATTGGGTCCTGTGACCGTAAGGCCTGCAAGCATCTCAAAGTCACACAGAAAGCCTTTTTTCCCACAGGTTCAGGAGAAGGCAGACAGGATAAGCAGGGTCTTTAGCAGGAAGTCACCAGTGGGGTCTTCCCGGAAAACTGTCTCGTCGTGGTCAGCTGAGTCCCGAGAGAGGCTGACAAGGGGACATGCCCCAGTTTTGGTGCTTGGTCAGCTCAGGCTCGGGGAGCAGCCTGAGGGGAGCACGGGGGGTTCTGTAGGAAGGAGTGAAGCCTGAGTAATGTCGGGTCAAGATACAATGGGGGGTAAGCAGTGGGCCTCATGTACACTTGGGCAGCTCGGGAAGTGAAAGGGGGCAACGGGCTCCCAGGAGTGAAAGTGTGAGTCAGCCCCGCTCGCTTCTTACAGGTCCTGTGCCCCTTTGCTATATATATACTTTCCGCATTTCCTGAGGCTTGATTCATAGCAGCACATTGAATGATGGTGAACGCTTTTATGATCCTTCCCCCCCCTTTTTCCCTTATTTTTGTAACCACTTGCAGGTAAGAATGAGTTCCCCAAGAGAATCACCAATGGCTATTCGTTCCATCAACTGCTACATCTAATGACAAGGCACTCATTAGATTTGTCACCTGCCATTTCATAACGATCATCATGTGCCAGCTTTTTAGGGATTTGTGTGTTTTTACTTTTTTATTGAGATATGATTGACATATAAGGTTGGATTTGTTTCAGGTATATAACACAATGATTTGATATTTGTATATATTGTGACATGATATATACAAATATCGTATACATTGTAACGAGACAATAAGTCTAGTTAACACTTGTTGCCACACATAGTGTTTTTGATCCCAAATGGTTACTCATGGTTTTTTATCCCAAGTTACACAGTCGTATTAGCTAACATCAGATCAGAGCCCTGGACGTACTGTGTTAACCACCTTACATGGCCTAACCCAGTTGTTTCCACATGGCACTCTGAGGTTAGGACTGTCGTGGTCTTTATCGTACAGAGGTGGGACCCGTGACGTGGAGAGGTAGGTGACCTGCCTGTGGGTACACAGTTTTCGGGGCGAATCCACATGCAGGGTCTCCAAGGCAGCATCGCTAGCCACAACTCAGTGTAGACTCAGTGAATACGCCAAGCCAAGCGCTCTGGAATACTTCCCAGTCAACTGCCAAGTGTCCTGTTGACAAGAGAGGCTCAAGTAAAGGACTGTGAATATTTGCTTCATTCTCTGGAGGGGTACCACCACCCAGGTCTTCCCTGCTCATCATCAGCTTTACTGCTGGTCGGACTTGCGTCCCAGGGAGTCATATGATTATTTTATGCTTTACAGGATATAGACAGTTAACCATCTGCATATAGGCGTTACTTTGAAGTAGGAAGTGGTAATCAGCAATTTGCTTTCGGTCAATTCTGGTCTCTCACTGCATTTTTCTTAATGGCCATTAGAAATTCCACCTTGTTGACAGAACCCCACTGGTGGTGTGGGCACCTGGAGGGAGCAGCAGTGAGCGGAGTGTAAGGGGACACTTCTCCATGGGTCACAGCATTGCCTAAGGTAAGCAAGGCTGAGCCTCCTGCACGCCTTTCAAAAACACCTTAACTTCCTTTTTTTTTTTTTTTTTGGTAAAGATTTTTATTGGGGAATTGGGGGGATGGGAACAGCGCTGGGGAATTGGGGGAAGGGGAACAGACAAGTTGCTGTCCTTTTGTTCTTCAGTCTAGTTGTGGAGGATGTCGCTTCACTGGCCCAAGTTGGCACCATCATTGCGCTCTTCCTGGGCGAGGCAGATCAGTCGCCGGCTTCTGGACGGCCGCTCACTGCGGCTGCTGGCCGCTCACGCTGCCTGCTGGCTACACACGGTAGCCCATGGCAACCCATTGCAGCAGGGGCTGCAGCCTACGCCGTCGCCGGCGACTCATGGCAGCCCAGCTCCAGGTTGAGCTGTTGTTCAGCATCTTAGCTGTGGAGGGCAGTGTCACTGGCCCTCATATGTGGGATCTGAACTGGGGCCCTCTGGCATCCCAAGCCAGTTCTTAACCATCGTGCCACTCGGCCGGCCCCAACACCTTAACTTCTTTAATATCCTTTCTGAGTCATGTTAGACATGGAACTGTTTTACTCTTAGGAATTCAAGAACGCTTGGCATACTGACTGTCTACATTTAATTAGACACTCACTGTCACAAATACACTGTCCTCAGTTTCAGTAACAGCACTGTATTTTCAAGACGTTCACTGTTCCTCTAAATGCACGGTGAGTGATTTTATTCTAATTGCCTCTTACCAGAGCTTGCATGATGGCTGGGCATTGCTTCTTCCTGCATTAAATATCCGCAGGCAATGCAAAAAGTGATAGACGCAATGAAAGACAAGGCGCGGGCATCAGGAATCCCTGGGGATGGAGCGGGGAGGAGCTTGTAAGGGGATCTATGTAAGAGGAATCGATGGGGTGGGGATTTTTATGAGACTCAGTGCAATACAGGAAAAGCTCTGATTACTGATGCAAATGCTGTAATAATTGTGTGTCTCGTGGCCATCAAAGACATATAATGATCTTTAGAAGAGTCTGCTACAGATCTCTCCCCACAAAGCCTAAGTAGGAGCAGAAAATATATGTTGCAGAGGTCAGCACGATGAAGAGGCAGATGCAAGGTCTGAATCAAAGCGACTCTTGGAATGATTAAAGATATAATTTCTGTAAATAAAAGAGAAAATGTAAATGCTAAATGTAGAAGCTTTGCTTCTAAAGAGGCAAAAGGAACCAAAAGGAAAAAGGAAAAAAATCACAAACCTATATACAAATCACTGGAAAAAACCTTCTGACCTCTTTCTTAACCACTCTTTTTCAAAAGCAGAAGGAAGCCAGCCTAAAGTTTCGGCTCCACTGAGGTACAAATAAAAAAGGACAGAATACAGCAAGTCCAGTGATCTTGAGAAAACATGCATTTGTTGAACACAGACCATTGCAGTATGTGAGATTCTGACGTCAGTAGGAGGTTTTAAAATAAATACTTTAAGATCTTGTGCCAGGTTTACAGGAAGACCCTCTGGAGACCAAGCGAATTAGAATGGTGAGGGACCCAGCGCCCCAGATGAGTGGCAGTGCTCCATCTATCAAATGGGTATCGTGTCTGCCGTAAAGGGGTTTTTTGAGGTCAAAGACATAGCCGATGGAAAGCAGTGATCCCAATGGCCAGAATGTAATTTGAACTTAATTTCTAGCACACACACACGTATGCACACATGCACATACTCACGACACATAAACACACACACACCACACATGCATGTGGACACACATGTATAAACACACACATAAAAATACACATGCACATACACACACATGCACATGAAGACCACATACACAATCTATTTCTATACACAAACCGAAACACACAGGTACACACACACACACAGCACAGGCCTGTACACATGCACACACAGGTACACACACACACACACACACACAGCACAGGCCTGTACACATGCACACACAGGTACACACACACACACAGCACAGGCTTGTACACATGCACACACAGGTACACACACACACACAGCACAGGCCTGTACACATGCACACACAGGTACACACATCACATGCGCCTGTACACATGCACACATCTGTACACATGCATACCCAAATACACACATACACACACGTCTGTACACGTGCACACACAGGTACACACACACAACACACACTTTCTTTTAGTCCTTGTTCCTTGAATTGCAGGCCATTGCTGTTTATGAAAGTCAGCTCAGATTTTAGATCTTCTGCCTTAATTTAATTTTAACAAGCTGTTAAACTTGTTATCCAATTTGTCTAAATTAAAATTTTAACTGTTTTCCTTGCTGATAGCATTTCAGTAAATATTGTTTTCCGCATATTTAATTTCCTGGGTAGCGTCTACCCTTGGCCACATAGACAAACGAGTGGAGGTCTGTTGGCCACACCTCCGGCCTCTGCAGCACCGCCTCTCCTCTCGGGGCTTCCCGTCCATTTGCCGCCCGCCCGGGCGTCTGCGGTCACCCCAATCCTGGTCCCGCCAGAGAGCCGACTGGTGACTCCTCTCCCTGAGAGTTTGTCGGCAGTTAGCTGAAACGCTTGCTGCTACAGACTTACCCTGGGTCCCACCTGTCCCTCATCACGTGTGTGACCAGAAGACTCCCAAAGCTTCAAAGTCCAAAGAAATGGTTTCTGCGACACAGTGACCCTGGGGAGGCTGCTGGTGATGAGGCTGGGCGCGTTGGGGGCAACGGGGTGCTGCCTGGGGCTCCTAAGCGGCGGCGTGTGGGTTATCGTCCTTTCCTTGGCTCGCTGGGCTGGTTCTGATTTTCAGGGCGCATATTATCAGGTGCTCTTTTCAATTTTGAATGAATTCATCAATTAGCTGTTAGTTTCTGAGACATTGTCTTTTGGTCAAGGCACCTAAAACAAAAACGGTACTGGGAAGCCCCATTATTTTAGTGAATAAAAATGTAAGTCGACATTTTAAATAGTATGTTAAAAACGTACTCTAATTGAGTAACATTAAGTTTTTCTTAAAGTAACACTTGCTTTCCATGTGTGGTGACATCTTCGAAATGTTAACATTGAGAGGCAGAGGCTAAGTTACCACCAGCTGCATATGGTTAACCTTGCGAGCTCAGCATATTGGCTCCTCATTGAAAAGGTGGTATATTTATACGGTTTCAAACCCTGTACGCAAGTCACATGAAGGTTCAGCCTATTATTCTGTGCCTCTAAAAAAGGAAGGGAAGCCCTTGCAAGGCAAATCTTTTAGTGAAAATTGATTTCCATCATGTCTACGATGATAAGACAATCGATCAGAAGTTACCTGGAGGTCCGCGTAATCTGTTTGATGTGATTTCTAAGCGACTCCAAGTTGGAGACACGCGGAGACCAACATGCCGCCCAAGGGCTGTTGACCCACTAGCCTTGGTGGCACCTTCGCCTGCTCGCCGCCTCAGACAATGTGACATGAAGACAGCGAGCTGGTGGGGTGAGCAGCGTGTGCCTGGCTCTCACGCCCGGCTCTCAACGGATGGAAGAATGAGCATGTTCTCTAGGTCAACTTTGCCCGTGCTCCCCGGGGCGAGGAGCTTTGGGACGCGGTTCCTTGAATGGGGCTGTGATGTAAATATCCAAAGCACGGTGCCCTCAGAGCCTTCCCAGACTCACCTCACCCCGGGGCACTCTTTCCACTCCCTCGTCCCTCCGTTCTTCTCTGAGCACCCCCAGGACTCATGTCTAAGTGCCGGTCTATTCCAGTGGTCCAGTCACTTGATGCTAGAATTCCCTAGGAAGCAACAGTTCCACGCTGGAATGTGCATTTGAATAATAATGAGACTGTGAGTGCCCAGGTCAGTGATGAAAGCAGACGTCCAGAGGACCCACAGATCTCACCCACCACCAAAGTGTGTCAACGATTCCAAAGAGACAGACAAGCACTATGCACAGAGAAGCACCCCTTCCATCCATCACAGCTTACTAAGAATGGGTGCTGGCTACAGCTTAACAGGAAGCACCGGGACAGTGCGTGTGAAAACACTGCTCTCAAGGCGCCTGGGTTCACCCACTCATCGCACAGGAGGAAGCTGCCTGTGGCCCACTTCCTGTGGTTCTCCAGGGACCGTGCCCCAACAGTCCACGGAGCCCCGGTTTGTGTGCAGCAAGCCATCCAGACACGCAGGTACAGTCTGCTGAAGGGCGTCATTCGACAGGGATGCCGGGTTTCTTTCGCCTGGTATCTGACTTTAGCAGGTTTCCGGGGAGGGCTGGTCAAGGTGAACCGTGGCAGGTGTCCCCAGCCGTCGGGGCCTACTGTTAACCCTTTCCTTTCTGACGAGCTCAATCTCCAGCTGATTCAGGGGGTCTGACCGCCTCGCTGCGCCTCGTATCCCATGAGGACTCCTGCACCTGTGCTAACGCTCTCCTACAGCCGCCCGTGCCATTCACAGTGAGCTGTGTGGGCAAACCTGTCTCTGCAGTGTCCACTCACTGCGTGTATTCTTACCCTAGGCCAGGGGGAGGGGAAGGGAGGGGTTATGCCTAGACCCCCTTTCAAAGGATGACCTTGCAAGTAGCGGATGACCTCATTCCAGCCGGCCCTTCAGTGCTTGAGGCAAACAACTCCACTTCTGACACAGTGCCGGTTCCATGGTCACGGCCACTGTGTTTTGGCTGCTTCCAGCCCGTCCTTTTCCCAGCAACTTGAAATTGCTGTGCGAACCTGACCCGTGCAGATGCGTGGTGCTCTCCCTCACCTCATTCTAAACGCCATCGTTTCAACAATTCGGCCTGAAAATTAAACACGAAGGGGTTCTAGCCGACTACTTATGAGCACTGTTTTAGTTTCTTATTTGCTTTCCTGTGGCACTGTCTCGGTACTACAACACATCGCCACAAATGCAGCAGCTTAACCAGCCCCAACGTAGCATCTCACAGTCTGTGGTCAGAGCCGCATTGGTGCTGGTCCCTCCAGCCCGGGGTCCTGGTTCTGGTGGGCTGCACTCCTGCCGTTTCTAAAAGTGGGCCTGTGTCTGTGCTCAGCCCTGCTGTTGCCAGCACTCAGATTTTGGCAGCTGTAGGACCAAGAACCCCATTTCCATGTTGGCTGTCAGCGGAGGGCCCCTCCCAGCTCTCCAAGGCCACTCACGCGGCTTGCTTTGTGGCCCCTTCTCCCGCCTTTCTCAAGGCAGCTGAATACTGGGAAAGAAGGCTCTTAACTGCAAAACCACATTGAATACAATAATACCTCCAAGTGTATCCTCATGTGATTTCTTCTTAGAGGCCTCAAAACTCTTCCTCCGAAGGACATTCCCCTAAGAATGTCCTGCACGTGTTCCTAAGGCCAGCGGGTTTGTACCAGCATTACGACACCCATCTATTTGAGACACACAGCTGAGGAGATTTAAACCCCGGAGAAAAGCCAGTTACATTTCAGGAATCAGCTGTGCTGAACGATTTGATGTGTG